AACCGAGCATGCTGCTGAATCGTAATTAATTCATGATAAATCGTGTGATTGTTCGACGGCCATGAAATTTTAAATTTGATGTCCTGTGATGATTTTGTAAGTCGTGTAAAATTTTCAAGTCGAAACTCCATCTGTAGCTATTTTAATTAATTGAATCGGTTTCTGGTCAGAATTTTATAAAATTCATTTAAAATCGTACACTAAGATTTTTGAGCTGAAACTTTGAGGAGTATTTTATTTTGTGGTAATCTGTGTTGTGTCAAAAATTTGGATTAAAATTCTAAGTGTAGCTATATGAGCTTTTAATGTCGGGTTTTGACATTGTTTTTGCTTAAATTATTTAAAAATACTTCCGAATGAATTTAGGGCTGAAACTTGGTGAGATTATGTGTTTTGTCTGCCTTGTGCTGTGGTAAAGTTTCAGGTTGATTGGTTGAGTCTAACTCCAGATTCTAAATTTTGTTTATTTTTTAATCTTAATGCTCGGTTATCCGTTGTTTAGGTTCGGATTGGATTTTATTGATGTTGGCATGATTTATGTGTATTACCTGAGGTATATGAGTTGTGTTCATGTCTAGTAGTCACCCCATTGTACTTAACTCGGTCAAGGAATCCACGAGTCACTTAGTCGATATAATTTCGACTAAGTATATGTGCCTTGTGTGCTGTTTCGTATTGGATAGTCAGTTGATAGGCTATTATAATTGTTGTAGGTTCATCGAGCTGAACTTTTGTCATTATTCCTTCAACCATATGTCTGGCTATATCTCGGTGTCCAGGTGGGTTATTCAAAATTTGTCTATGCCTTGAATGATAATTGCTTTATTTATGTGGGTATGATCAACGTATGCATGTGAGCATGTAACCTTCGATGTGAGCTGTACCGACCGTCGAACGGTTATCCCCGTAGCTATAGAACGTACCCCGCAAGGGTAATCTCCACGTTTGTCCTTTGCTAAGGACCACGTCATCTGTAAGACCTTGGCAATGTGCCCTGGCCGGTGATGGATATCCTGTCCAAGCACTAGGTGCGTGCTGTGACGGTTGAGCCTCCTGCTGTTTGGGCACCCCATTTATGTTCACCGAAAGGCATACGAGCAGCAGTCTATCGTTATAGGTGTGCACATGAGAATTACTTTGGTTAGGAGATGGGATATTTATTGACTATGTTCATGCAGCGACCATGCCATTTAATTTCTCGTACTATATTATTGTTCATGTGCATAGTAGTGAGCACTACAGTTCACCGTGCTCACTCCCACCTCCTCTTCATGGATGCAGGTTAAGCAGGTGTTGGCTGACGAGACAGAGACGAGAGGTGTTGGTCTTTGACTGACCTCATTTAGTTTATTCCGCATGCTAGACTATTTATGTTTATTTATGCATTTACGACTTTGGATTTATGATTTATGACTTCGGGATCTTTGGAACTTTGGATTGGGAGATGTTCCCTAATGAATACTTTGGACGAACTTGAGATTTATGGAAATTTCGAATTTATGATTTATGATTTATGAAAGTATGATTAATGTTATTTATGTGATAAAGTTGAGTAGCGCCATCGATTTATGAAAAGAATTTTGAAAAATTTAAGTTGACTTTTTGAAAAGTCCTTGACCTTTGTCAAATAAAAGTGGGGTGTTACACAATTGAGGCTGAACTAGACTCGCTAAATAAACGAAAAGTTTTTGGCTCTATTGCGCGTACACCTCAAAATGTTATCCCGTAGGATATAAATGGGTGTTCGTGCGAAAGAGAAATGAAAATAATGATGTGGTGAGATACAAAGCGAGATTAGTTGCTCAAGGGTTTTCGCAGAGACCCGGAATTGATTTTGATCAAACATATTCTCCGGTAATGGATGGAATAACGTTCCGCTATTTGATATCTCTGGCAGTAACTATGAATTTAGATATGCAGTTATTGGATGTCGTGACCGCATATTTATATGGGTCATTAGACACAAACATATATATGAAAATCCGTGAAGGATTAAAGGTTCCCCGTTCCCGAAATAAGGAAAAATGAAACACGCAACATGTATAGCATTAAATTACAAAAGTCATTATATGGCTTAAAGCAGTCGGGTAGAATGTGGTACAACCGGCTGAGTGAGTTTTTGTTGAAAAATAATTATGTGAATAACGATGTGTGCCCCTGTGTTTATAAAGAGGTCAACGAATGGCTTATGCATCATTTCAGTTTATGTCGATGACATAAATATAATTGGCACACGAGAGAAGCTTGATAAAACTAGCTCATGCCTAAAGACGGAGTTTGAAATGAAAGATTTGGGTAAAACCAAATATTGTCTCGGCCTGCAGATCGAGCATCTCCCTGAAGAAATATTTGTACACCAGTCAACCTACTTGAAGAAGGTTTTAGAAAAATTCTACATGGATAAATCTCATCCACTTAGCACACCAATGGTTGTCCGATCTCTTGAAGCTGATAAGGACCCATTTAGACCTAAAAAAGATACCGAAGAAACTTTAGGACCAGAAGTTCCTTATTTGAGCGCCATTGGCGCGTTACTTTATCTTGCAAATTACACTAGGCCTGATATTGCATTTGCAGTAAACTTGCTAGCAAGGTTTAGTGTTTCTCCTACGAGGAGACACTGGAATGGTATTAAACATATTTTTAGGTATCTTCAAGGTTCACAAGATCTTGGTTTACTTTATAAGAAAAATCAAGATATGACATTGGTGGGCTATTCGGATGCTTGTTATATGTCTGATCCCCATAATGCTAGATCACAAACAGGTTATGTTTTTCTTTGTGGTGATATTGGGATCTCTTGGAAGTCAGTCAAGCAGTCTATGGTTACTACATCTTCAAACCATTTAGAAATAATTGCTTTATACGAGACTTCACGCGAATGTGTATGGTTAAGATCTTTAAAATCCAACATATTCGTGGATCATGTGGAATTACAAATGATATAACCCCCACTGTCCTTTATGAGGACAATGCAGCTTGTGTTTTACAAATGAGTATGGGTATGTCAAAGGAAGCATGACAAAACACATTGCTCCAAAATTTTTTTACCCACACGAGCTCCAGAAGAGCGGTGAGATTATTGTACAAAAAGTAAGGTCTAGCAAGAACTTGGCAGACCTATTCACCAAATCTCTTCTTACATCTACTTTTGAAAAATACATTTATTGTATTGGTATGAGTAAACTGGGAAGACTATTGTCTTCAGGGGAGGGAAAAACTCAATAAAATCCCGAAGATTAGGTCCTAAAGACCAAATGCTGTACTCTTTTTTCTTTAACTAAGTTTTTCCCAATGTGTTTATTAGTTAAAGGTTTTTAACGAGGCAGCTAGTAAAACACATGAATTTTTATAAATCATGTATTCTTTTTCCCTTGTAATTTTTTTTCCGTGTCGGGTTTTTATTAGCCAGGTTTTTAATGAGACATGTGGTAATGTCCAAGGAGGAGTGTTATAAATATAGTAATATGGACATTACTAATATATAATTAGGTCTGAAGTCCATTAGTTAGGAAAATTAGGTTTTAAGGTTTCTATCTTGTAAACTCTATAAAAAGTGTGATATACCAATAATAAAAACATATACTTTTCTGCACATCTTATGCTTAAATTGATGGATGCTTATTGAAAATTAAGAGTTTCAATTTACAACATGTAATTCATTACAACTTAATGTCAAAAATCTAAAAAAAAAGAAGAAAAAAAAAAAAAAA